ACTACCAGTCATTGCGGAAATTTGGTGAACACCCAAGTTCAAGATTAATTGCTCGGGAAGACATTTCAAAGAACTACGGGAACTTAATTCCTTCGAGAGGGGGTACGTAGGCAATCATCTTGGTGCAAATGAATTGGACTTTAGAACTTATTTGGTTATTCATCACTTTTTTAGAATTAAGAGATAAGGAAGAGATTGTTGTATTCAAGACATTATTTACTTTAATTGTAATTAAGAGTAATTTTTTCTTTTGGCTTTATTTACCTGTATACTCTAGTCCTCCTATATAAAATGAACTTAAAGTTTATGAGAGATTTAAGGGTGAGGAAGTGCTGAGTTGTAATCCAAAATCGTTTTTTGCTTTCTCCCATCTGGTGCTACTAAAGTGGCCCTCCCCGTTGACGTTGGCGAATCAACTTAACACTGAAACACATAAATTTTTGTGTTTGATTGTTCTTGTGTGAATTTCCTTACTTCCACATTATTTTCACATAACATAAAGTTGAGAGAAAGTAACCGGTAGCCTTCGTAAGAATCACCAAATGGTTGATGTGCTAAGGCAACCACCTGAGCAGAGTTGATCTAGCGAGTTCACTTTGAGTTTAATTTGTTCTTCTTCAGCTCAAAGACTGTACCAAGACCCCAATAAGTGAATCCATTTGTGACTTGATTGGTGAGTTAATTTTGGTTTCAATTCGAAGGCATATCTTAAATCTTGCCAGAGCATGCATTGAACCAAACTATCCAAGTTCTCTATATTATGGTTTATAGAATCCACACTTAGAAATAAATTGGCTTGTGATTTGCATTTTAAACTAATCAATAATACTAAATTTGATAAAATCTAATCCTTGAACTTTTATTAAGTAATCCACAAACCTAGACCAAATTTAAATTTTAGGGATAATTGGATACAAAACATTCAAAATATTGATATTTACAAATTAAACCCTCGTGTATATTTCTTAAACTACCCAACACATGCATTTACGCATGCCACGATCAAACTGTTGAGAATTTGATAAATATGAAACATAAGGGTTGTGGTTTTCCTATGAATTTTGAGATTTGAGTGAGAAGTTGAAAAATGGATGAAGTTGGGGGGTTGATTTGTAAATAGCAAGTTTTGGGTGGTCTGTACATAATTGCTCCTTAATTCTAATAATAAGCTATTTTTTATTTTCATTATTTGATGTCCTGCTATAATCATTCATATATCCTTTTGGGGCATCTTCATTAGGGGTGTAGGTGAGTCAAGGCCACTCGTGAGCTCGACTCGATATGTGACTCGCGAACTGAGCTCGATGACCTAACAATCCAAGCTCAAGCTTAGCCCCGACATGACTCATTAGCTGAGCGGTCCCGTTGAAAAAAAGAATATTAATATAAACATATTTAAAATATATTAAATTTGAAGGCTTTATAAATAAAGTATTAAAAATATTTAAAAAAATAATATTTTGTATTTCAGATTAAGTGATTTCTTATAATTTCTCTTATATTTGTTCATTCTATTTATCATTTTATTAATTCTATTTTCCCTTTTATATTAAACAAGCTGGCTCTTAAGCATGCTCGAACTCATGGACTTGAGCTCGAGCTCAAACTCGATAAAATTAATCAAACTCAAGTGCAAGCTCAAACTGAGGGCGGCTTGAGCTCGACTCGACTCGTTTACTCTCGTGATCTCGATGATAGGATAAATTAAGATATTCGAGTCAAGACATCAAGTGTATTGAGCGTAAATATTGACCGAGCCTCGTCATTTGGGCGAAACTCATTCAAAATTCCAGTTGTGGAGCGAGACTTGTTATAAGCATTCTGAAATAACAAAAAATTTTGAGTTTGTCCACTTCGACATCTGGAGACGTTCCGAAAACTTTCGGCCACCAAGCATCCTTTTCTCTGGCGGCGGCGTTGAGTGTGATCGAACGGAAGGCAGAAGCCTTTTTGAATGGAGCGTCAGTGAAGTTGGCAAGTTACTTCGCATGGATTAGGTTTCAATTGAATGACTCATAATCTCTTTTGGGAGTACGAATGCGCGTAGGATTTAGTTTTAGGCGGTGTTTAGTTGCATTCTAAATTTATGTTAAATAAGATTTATAAGATTCAGTAAATTCGATCATCACTGCGACGGAGATGAACTCGTGAGTGACAATAGAAAAAAATTCTTAAATCCGTCACACAATCGGATTTACTAAATCAGGATTTACGTCCTAAATGAGACGAAACGCTGGAATAAAAGACGAACACAAAAAAATAAGGGTTGCTGGATCGAGCCTCGAACGGGCTGGTGACGGGAGAACGGCTGCGATCCGGGTGACGGGTGATGCTCCTTAGCCGGGGATCTCAACAGAGACGAGAGCGAGAGCGAAAAGTTAGGGTCACGGGAGAGGCGAAGGAAAAAAACAATGTCACGGGCGTAAATGCGGTCGGAAATTGAAATTGGAAAACGCGGACCGCGGGGGTCAGCCCACGGTCCGCGTCTTTTACAATTTCGGAAACGCAATTTTTAATAATCTGGCGATAAGTGGGTACCAAACAGTGAGTCACAGTGAGTCGACGTTTTCAAAGCGCCGCCCGCACTTATAAGCTGTCCCAAACGGGCTCTTAGCCTCTCGCTCGCCGTTCGCTCGCATAAGCTTTCCATTCGACGCTGGATTGAGCAGTGGAGAATCCATCGCCGGAGTCCAGCAGCGGGAACTATCCACAGATCTGCTTCTTTCTCGACGTGGTTCTTCGGGCTTCACTCATTTTCCACCTACTTCATTTTTTCTGTAGCCCTCTTTGGTTTTCCTCGCTACAGGTATATCTTGTTCGTTTTCCTAATATTTTGTTAGATCGCTTAGATGCCATGAAGATGATTTAAGTTTTCCATATAAAAAGATGAATTGTAGGTATACATTTGTTATATCAAGAAGCTTTCTTATCAAAAAATGGTCTATTACTTCTCTAACTACTATCATGTATAAAATTATAAAGAAACAAAATTATAAGTTATTCAACCCAAAAATTTATATCATCGAAGGTTCATTTTAAAAGGCTTTATATGATTACTGTTGTGATTATTAATAGAAAATTTCGCACAAAGGAATCATATATTACACAACTTCTAGTTCTGCTGATGGGGAAAATCCAAAAATCTGCATCAAGTAGCTGGTTGAACAAAAAAATTTAATAATTGCAAAAAGGTTGACTTTCGAGGCTTTGATATTAGAATATTTTTTAGATTATTTCTGTCTAGTTTCTTGTTGTGTTTGAACTTTAAAATATTCTTTAGAAAGACATCTTTCTTTTAACATGAATTTAAACTTCTCATGAAAAGTAAAATGAGATAGGAAAAAAGAAAATTGTTCATGAGCTAGGACAGGTTAGTATATAGATAAATGTTATTTGGTCCACTAACTAAAAATAGAAACTACTTTGTAATATCATATAAACACTAAAATAGTTTGTATATAGAAAAATGTTAATGTTTCTTTACTCCCCCTTATTTTTGATATGGTATGAAAAAGTTAGGTGATATTAATTTAAAACATAAAATTCAGGTATTAGATATGTAAATACAAAGGAGTTGGGTGGAATGCATGCAAATGCTCCTAAACGAAATATCATTTGTGAGGGAAAATCTTCTTTATTATATGATATTTTTTCTTCCGCTAAATAAATAAATCTCAACTCAATAATTCTTAGATATTCATTTTATAGTTTTTTTTATATGATATAGTGTTATGTGGTTGTTCCTCTTTTATATGAATGTACAGTTTGACAATCTTTACAAAAGTTCTTTTTTTTCCAAAGTTTATCCTATTTTTTTAGTAGTCTTTGTCATGATTTGTTTCCGATGTCTAATCTTTACGGCGTCACAAAGATGAAGATGTCAGTAATCTATCTTTTGTTTTGTGATTTTTTAGAGGGTTGATATAGAAATTGTTCTTTTATTTTGTGATTTATTTGCCATGAAAAGATGTGTACCCTAGTTTCAAGTCAACACCCAGGGTCAATTCTAAAGCCAAGTAATCCTATAGGGACTCTTCTTGAATTCTCTTATAATGATCTTATCTACTAAATGCTAGAAGTTAAGATCAATATGTGGAATTTCAAGTTGAGTAAAAAAAAGAGTTTTGAATTTCTAATGGTGGGGGTACCTTTTCTAATTTTCTAAGACTAGTCAATAGGAAAGTCCTATGGCTAGACCTAGGCTACTAAAGAAGTTTTCTAGACCTCAACCAAAAGTGAGGTCAACACTCACCATATTGTTTCCTCATATAAGTTGTAGATTTTTCATATCCCAACTTCATACTCATTCTTATGTCATGGACTTTTACATTTTTTGGATTAATCCCCTCCTTTATGGATTATGGTGCTTTGGAGTTTTGTAGGTATGGCTTCGAGGTGCTTTATAAATTGGATGATTTGTGCAAGAGCTTATAGGTTTCTCCTAAAGGATTATTTTGGATGCTTCTTTGGCATGTTCTAATGGTTTGGGATTTAACTGATATCTTTCTAATGTCCTGCATGGAATTCTCAAACTCTTGCTAGTGTTGGAGTTATTTTTGAGAGCAATGATGATAATTACGATATTAACAATGGGCTCAACCGACTAGTTATCTCATTTTAGCTAGACTCAGGTTTGTTGCTAGTGTTTTACTATATCCATCTGTTGGTGTATTTACTATGGTTGGATTGTGTTTTTAGGGCTTTTGATAAAAAACTATGCTTTTTTTTTATCAATGCCAAGCTTGGTAGGAGCCACTCATTGAATAGACTTACTCTTTGGGCTTTCTATATCCTTTGAATAACTACTTTTGTTTGAGGTTTTATAGCTTTCTTTTTTCTTGATTTAAGTTTCTCTTAGTGGGTTATTTATTCTCTATATATGAGAGTGGTTTTTCTTTTTTTTTTTCAATAAAATTTGCTGCTTCACAATTTGTCCAAAAAAAAAAAAAAAAATAAAAAAAAAAACAAAAAAACCGTTGTTGAACAGGGCAAATATTTTGCCGAAGTGTACCGGGCAAATATTTTGCCAACGGAGTTCGGTGGTTGGTTTTCTCTCTCTCTAGCTAGCTGGTATCTCTGCCCGCTGTAAACCAACATGGCCGACGACTCCCTTCTCGTCGAAAAGATTACCATCTCGGGTGCGACCCTCGCCTCCATCCTTCAACGCTTCTCTTCCTCTGCCGGTGACCTCGACGGCCTGCTCTTCGGCTACTTCACTCGGCTTCCCCCTCCCGATCCCAATGACGACGACCCCTCCTCGTCCTACTCCGCAACCGCCAGATCCACCGCCATCGCTGCCTTCTCCGCTTCCATAACCGGCTGCTACTCCTCCGGCGCCGCCATGACCTTCTACGACTCCATTGGCCGCATCGATTCCCACTCTCTCCGCCGCGCATCCGAGGAAGATCGCCTCCCCATTCTTCTTGGGTGGTTCTGTGGCCGCCGCCGTACCGCTGTCCGCCCCTCCATGCGCGAAGTTGCCGTCTCCAACTCCCTTTTTGAAACCCTAACCCTGAGATCCGCCGTCGACCCGGCCTCTCCTCGGCCCTGCATCTTCCTTCTCCTCTCCTTTTCATCAACGGAAAATCAAGCCATTCACACGCACGAGTACCGGGCTTTTCATTTCCGACGAAAGCCCCCATTCGGCACTGGTTTACTTGAGCCTAGATCGCTTCATATTGTGAACATTGGGCCAGATTTCAGAGGACAGTACGGGTCGTTCTCGCCGGATTCTTCACTTCCGTGGATGTCGTTGGGAGTTGATGATAAGCTGGCGCAGAAGGAAAGCCTTCGGAGTCTCCGGGAGACTACAGCTGCGCAGCTGTTGCTTGATTCTGTGACCGAAGGGTTTACAGTGGAGAGGCTAGCACATTTGGTAGGACCTGGAGTGGAAGAGTATGCTTTAGAGTTGGAGGATTTGTATAGGAAAATGTTATTTAAGCTAGAGGGATTGGCAAGACTGGTGGAGAGGAGCTCTGCTAAGGTTCTTGAGCAGGTGCTTTCAGTGTTTTGAATTCAATAGGAACGCCTTTGTTCGTTTTAGTACGAATCAAGTAATAGAGTCCTTCATGGAAGTTAACATACTTTTCATGTTTATCATCTGGTTTACAGGAAAATAAAAATTTGAAGATGAGGTGCAGATTGGCAGGGTTGGAATGAGCCTTCTGTCCAGCATTGTTTTTTGCAGTTCTAAATGGTAATTTGTATATTTCTTGTGTTTATGTGTTATAAGTGAATTGCTTGATTTATTGTCTAAATTTCTATTCTATCATGTAGATTATTGCATCTTTTGATAGTTTAAAAGTTTAATTCAATTCCTTAAGTTTCAATTGTGGTTGCTATAGTGCTATGTGGTTGTTCGTTGTTTCCATTTGTTTGTTGCGCTGGTTTCTGCATTACATAACTTTAATGTGTATGCTTATGTTTGGCGGCCTGTTTTGTGCAAAGAAAATCCTTAAGTTTCTATTGTGGTTGCTATAGTGCGATGTGGTTGTTCGTTGTTTCTATTTGTTTGTTGCGGTTTCTGCATTACATAAGTTTAATGTGTATGTTTATGTTTGGCGGCCTGTTTTGTGGAATGAACATCGCTTCTATTCCGGGATGGTTGAAGTTGGAGCATGAAATCAATGGATCACCATTTCCTTCTGTTATTTTCTAATTTAAATTACTACATATGTTATGATACAATTCCACAATTCTATTGTAATGAAAAACATCTAAATAGTCTTGGATCATTGGTTTATTTGTCTAGTTTGTTACCTCACTTCTATGCATCCTATTCTGTCCAACAGTGATCTCCTTGAAATTCATCTGAATGCTAGCTTGTATTTCACCTGTCTTTTTCCTTCTTTTCCTCAGTTTTAAAGCGAAAATTTTGCAGAAGAAACATTTATTTATTTTTATTTTTGAATGTTTCTATTTCCCTATTTTTATTACATGGGTGGAAAGAGTATTGAATGTTTATTTAATTTCTCATTCCCACAATAAGTTACAGGAATGGTTTCACAATTTTGATGTCTTTCTTTTTCTACCCTTTTTTTTTTTTTTTTAAATTCTATTAATGGTATGAACATGTTATTTGCCTTCCTGTACCGTTCCGAAGAGTAGAGTTCCAGGACTTGCATTGAAGAATGGAGTTCTAGGATTTATAATATTCTATGTCAATTTGAGCTTTTTAGTGATCTTTTAGATTTGAAATTTTTATTTTAGGATTTGTTTCTGCATTTTCTTAATACAAAGATGAAAAGTATGTTTCTTCTCCATTTCTGTTCTTTCATTATTTGTTTTTGAATAACACATTCTATCTGTAAGGCTATAGTATATTGGTTTTTTCTGTCTATTTTTCAAAATAAATGATTGGGTTGAATGCTAAGTCAATTTTTATTTTGTACTTGGAAGTTTTGGTTAATGCTTTCATAAGAAGGTTAAGTGCAAATATTTTTAAAGCAAATTATACGATACCAATTAATTTTATGTTATTGATTGTTGCATGTAGGGCATGAATAGTTGGCTGGTGTGTGTGATGTGCTTGGATGGTATATCATTGTACATTGCAGATGGTGAGGATTTTTTTTGCTTAAAAATTTAATCATGCAGGTTTGTGTTTTCAGTGAAAATTCTTATTCAAGATTCTTATGCGGTATCTCAATTTAATATGGTTGTTTTAAGTAGTGTGGATGCTCCGGAACAATATTTGATGCAGGTCCTCTTGAACATCATATTGATTGGCTATCAGCAGTGTTCTAAACGTTTGCCTTGGGTTCTTTTAATTATTCCAATCGCTTTTAGCTAAAGAATTAACTTCTAATGTGCTATGAGGGAACATTAGCCTATCTATTGACCAGCTTTAATGATTTTGCATGAGTGCCTGTGTGTTTATATATATATATATATATATATATATATAGAGAGAGAGAGAGAGAGAGAGAGAGAGAGAGAGAGAGAGAGAGAGAGAGAGAGAGAGAGAGAGAGAGAGAGAGAGAGAGAGAGAGAGAGAGAGAGAGAGAGAGAGTGATTCACTGTTTCATCTGCTATTTTGAGGATCTGTGAAAAAAAATTAATTTCTTATCCAACATCTATTTTAATCCATCACCTCTCAATAACAACCATGGAACAAAAGGAATACTCCTTTGAAGGTGCATTACACCTAGCACAATCAATAAATGAAATACTAAACTTTAAAGTTCAATTACACCTTTTATGGTTACCTTTTTCTTCTGATAGTTTGAAACCTTGTATCTTTCGGTTTTCTTTGTATTCTACTTGATTCTTTATCTCACATGTGTTTGATCCATAATACTTGTAAATTCTATAATACAAAAAATTCTATAAGCTTGGAATAGTATAATCGAAGAAACGTGGATAAACCTATTTTCCTTGTTCCATATTATTCAAATTACAATATTTCTCCTTTTTATATAGGGAATATCTGGAATAAATAAAATAAAGGTTATTACATCTTACCAAATACAAAACAAATAATAAAGAAAAGACATAAAATATAATAAGAAATATAATTAAAAGGGTTAAAACTGAAGTAGGAAACTCCCTCCACAAATTGATCTTGTGGTACCCGTATGGCCGACCGATGGTTTGGGCCACCTAATAGGGACATAATTCCACACTCCCCCTCAAGCTGGTTCATAGATGTTGTAATGACCCATCTTGGTCTTAAAATCATTGAAGCTGCCTGGAGTTAGGGATTTAGTGAAAACATCCTTGACTTGAAGATGAGTTGGAATATAGATGGAGTGAATAATGCCACCATTGATCTTTTCAGACATAAAATGTCTATCAATCTTAATATGTTCAATTATGTCATGATGCATATGGTTCTTTGTAATACTAATGATAGCAAGACTGTCACAAAACATATTTAGGGATTGAATGTGGAGCATCTCAACTCACATAGTAACCTTTGGTTCTATATTCCTTCACAAATTCTCAAAGAAAATTCCCGGTACTTAGATTTTGCACAACTTCTAGAGACCACTGCTTACTTTTTGCTTCTTCATTTGACAAGATTTCCCCATACATAGGAATAATACCCAGTGTGTATCTTTTGTCTTTTAGTTTTCCTGCCCAACTAGCCTCAACATAAAATTTCACTTCCCTGTTTTGTGATTTCTTAAATAATAATCATGTGTCACGGATCTTCTTAAAAAACTTCAATATTCTGTAAACCATGTTTAAACGTTCTTCATTTGGACTATTCATATGTTGACTTACAATGCTAACAAAGAGATATTGGGTTTAGTCTGTGATAGGTAGTTAAGCTTACCCACCAATCATTGGTATCTACTTTTTTCATTTGATTCCCCTCCTCTGAATGTAACATTTTATGAAATTCATAGGAGTTTCAATAGGTTTACACGTCAGCATTCCTGTCTCTTATAGTATGTATAGGATGTATTTTCTTTGGGGCATCACAATTTCCATCTTGGACCTGGCCACTTTAATGTCCAAAAAATATCTCATAGATCTTAGATCCTAGATCCTTCATGTCAAATTCTGTGGCAAGAATCTTTTTAATCTTCTCAAATGTTTTTCATCATCACTTTTCAAGATCATATCATCTATATAGACAATCGGCATAGCTTTCTTACCCCCTCCCTCTGTATGTTTTATGAACATTGTATTATTAGCTTAACATTGGATGTACCCATTAGATTTCATAGTCTTGCCAAACTCCTCAAATAAAGCTCACGGAGATTGTTTGAGGCTATAAATTGATTTTCTTAGTTTACAAATTAGATGTTTATTTGATCCATTTTTTAGTTTTGGTGGGACCTCCATATACAATTTTTCCTCAAGTTCTTCATTCAAAAATGTATTTTTGATATCAAGTTGATACAATTCTCACTCTTTGTTCATTGTTAAGGAAAAAAAGAACTCACAACATTTAGCTTCGCCACATGTACAAATGTATCTTGATAGTCTATCTCATATAACTGGTGAAACTTTTGGCCACGAACCTAGCTTTGAATCTCTGAGTGCTCTCATCTGCTTTGTACTTAACATCGAACACACATCAAGTCTTTTATCCGGAGGAAGCTTTGTAAAGGTCCGTGTGCCATTTAAATTAAGTATTTGCATTTCTTCTTCAATAGTCTATTTTCATTTTAGACTTTGAAGTGCTTCATGAATATCCTTGAGTATTTGCACACTATCAGGATTGGATACAAAAGCCTTATAATGCGATTATTGCTTTCCATAGGCAACGTATTCCCGGTTAAGATAATTTGCCAATTTTTCGCATCATTTCCCCCAGATTCTACCTCCCTTGGAACTTCAGAGATGTGTGAATTTAGGTTTGGTTATGAACACTCCTATGATTGCATATTATTTGTGTCTTGCTCGATGGATTTATTTCTACTAGTGTACACTCAAAATTCTTTGTGCATTTCCTTGTTGTCAATCTCAGATTGTATATTCTCAAGTGGTGGAACTTAGGAGATAAGATGGTTAGAGGGAAGTAGAATAGGTTTTAATGATTTTAGATCAATGTGGGTATCCAGAGCAGTGTCCCAAATTTGATATTCACCCTGACTCTCCCCTTGAACTTCATATTTGGGGTAGTAGGATTGTTTTTTAAAGAAAGCAACATTCATGGACTCATAGTATTTTTTTTTTTGTAGTGGAATAGTACTTTACCCCTTTTTTGTTAGAAGCATAACTAAAGAAGATAAATTTGATGAAATTTAGATCAAGTTTTGTGCGGTCCTGCTGGTGAATATGAACAAAAGAGATAACTAAATATTTTTAGAGAAAAATTGGATGAGAAGGCTTTAATATGAGGGTATGTTTCCATCAAAACATTGAGAGGAGCTTGGAATCATAGGATCTTGCTTGATATTCTATTAATGAGGTAGGGGGTTGTGAGAACTGCATCTCCTCAAAAGTTTTTGGGATGTTATGAGAAAATATTATAGACTTGGATACCTTGAGATGTCCATTGTTTCTCTCAGCTATCCCATTTTATTGTGGAGTATCAACATAAGAACTCACATGGATGATACAATTCTTTGCAATGTATGGTCTAACGATCGAGTTGTAGTATTTCTTTGCATAATCAGTTTTGTGGATTTGAATTTTCTTTCAACAGGTATAAACCTTAATATAATTCAACACTGCCTGTCACATATGTCACATTCTCTAAATCCACCAACCAAACTTCATAAGAGTTAGAATGAAATTTTGTAACACAATTCAAGTCTTGAGCAAGCTTGCTAATTAAAAGTAAGTTGCAATCTAGTTTGATCATCAATGAAAGAGAAATCATCTGAATCCATTGATGCTTTTCAATTTTGATGATTCTCAAATGTCACTGTGAATATTAGAGAAAGAATGTGAGTGCTTATACTAAGATAGATGAAATATATGATAAGTATGTTTAGCTAATTGACAGGTTTTACACTGATAAAACTCTAGCTTTTTATTAATAAAAAGATACGGGTACAACTTTATAACATAAAGAAAATTTTGATGACTTTGACGACATTATCATAATAAAACTTTACTTTCAACAAACCCAGACACAACAAAATCAGGAACATGGGAAGAGGATGATGGAGAAGACACTTATGTGTTAAAAGAATAACTTTCCTTGAATAGGTATAAACCTTACTATAATTCAACAGTCTGTCACATTCTCTAAATCCACCAACTAAACTTCATAAGAGTTAGAATTGAATTTTGTAACTCAATTGAAGTCTTGAGCAAGCTTGCTAATTGAAAGTAAGTTGCAATCTAGTTGGGGAACATATATCATAGAAGGAAGCCGAATATCTTTGATGACTTTCACTTCTCTTTTCCCATCAATCCCGAAGTGAGATCAATCAACAAGTATAACAAATTTGGATATGGTGATCTCTTGGTAGTTAGTGAGAACATGAATATCTCCTGTCATGTGATTAGAAGCACCTAAATCTACTATCCAAGATTAAAATTTTCCATTCTTAGCAAAGTAAGAGGAGGATATGATACCTTGGTGTATAATCAAGCTGGTAGGCTGCTCATTCGTGCTCATGAGAAGCTTTTTCAACACTTCCAGCTGTTCATTGGTGAAGGGATTATGGTTGGCCAACTCTCTAAAAGAGGCAGCAGCATGTGCTTTGTTGTCTCGGCGCTTCCTTGTTCAAGTTTTAAATCTACATGTTTTCCATGTAGTTTTTAGCACTTGTCTTTTGTGTGGCCAAATTCCTTGGTGAAGGGACTAGGGTTGATCGACTCTTCAAAAGAGGTAGCAGCATGGGTCTTGCTGTCTTGTTACTTCTTTCATTGTCCAGGATTCCATTCCACCGATTTTTCAGGTAGTTTCCAGCACTAATATTTTTGTGTGATCAAATTTTCTTGCGATGCCCACACAAGGGAAGATTCTTCTTTGGCTTTGAATTATAGGAAGAGTCTTGTGTGTAGAAAATGGAGCTTTCAGTGCTAGATGAACCCACACTTCTTGCCATCACAAACTTCTTCCTACTTTCTTCTCTTCAAATTTCATCAAAGGCTTTCGTAGTGGTAGGGAGAGGCTTAATCCTTATGATTCTTCCTCTAACCTCAT